CTGGGCAGCGGAGCGGGCTCGACATCGGGATGACGAGGAAGAGCAGGGACAGCAATCGGGTCAGAAACAATGAAAATAATACCAGCTGAAGGAGAATGAGGAGGAGGAGCAGGGTGGGAGGAGAAGGAAGGAGAAGTTGGAATGGATGAGGTGGAGGAACAAGAGAGGGTGCGGGGGGGGGGCGGAGGGCAAGAACAGAGCACGCTTTGCTGAGAACCGCACGGCACCGCGCCGCCTCCGACTCCTCCTCTCCCTCCTCCTCCTCCTCCTCCTCCTCCTCCTCCTCCTCCTCCTCCTCCTCCTCATGCTGCTCCTCCTCCTCATTTTCCTCCGCCTCCTCCTCCTCCTCTTCCTCCTCCTCTTCCTCCTCCTCCTCCTCTTGTCCCTCCCCTCTCATGAGCCTGCTTCGTGATTTTTCTGGATATCGGCCGTCATTGGCCCCGCCCCTGGCCCCCCCCCAAATGCCGTCACGTTCCGCGCCGGCGGCGTCCGGGCATGCCTAGGGATGACAGGGGCCAGGTAGGAGCAGCATGTACGTGGCGACCTGCACCACAGCGGCCGTGTACACCACAATGCTCGTGTGCACCACAGCACGCGTGTACACCGCCAAGCCTGCGTACACCGCAACAGCCGTGTTAAAAGCAAAGCAGCGCCTTTGTACACCACAGTGCTTGCGTGAACACACCGTAGGAACCATGCGCAACACATCGCCTGTGTACACCACAGTGCTTGCTTGCACCGCAGCGCCTGTGCACACCACAGCGCCTAGGTACACCACATCATCCGCGAGCAACGCAACGCTGGTGTACACCAGTCCCTGCGTGCACAGGACAGGTAGTAGAAGGAGAATCTCGGTGAGGATCCGCTGCGAACAGCTGAACGCCAAGTCAAGAAAGTGCGGATCATATAATGCAATGGTTTTCCTTATTCCCCCTCTCCTCCTCCTCCTCCTCCTGCTCCTCATCCTCTTCATCTTCCTCTTCCTCATCCTCTTCCTCCTCATTCACCCTTCCACCAGTCGTCAGGTTCGAGAAGACTCGTAGATTCCAGCGGCGCTCTTTTTTCCATAAATATTCATTTTCAAATCGTATGTAAAAAAATGTTTCTGTAGAATCCACAGGCGCTCCATTTGTCATAAGGATTCCTTCGAACATCCTACTTACAACAGTGGTGCTCTGTTGCACACGGTTGCTGTGGTGCGCATAGGCGCCCTGGTGTACACGGGCGTTGTGGTGCACGCGGGCACTGTGGTGTACACTGGTGCTGTGTTGCACACGGCTGATGTGGTGTACGCAGGCGCTGTGGTGTACACAGGCGCTGTGGTGCACACAGGCACTGTGGCACACAATGACGCTGTGCTGAACGCGGCTTGTGTGGTGTACATAGGCGGTGTGGAGTACACAGGCGCTGTGGTGCACGCGAGCACTGTGGTATACACGAGCGCTGTAGCGCAGATCGCCACGTACATGCTGCTGCTACCCGCCCTAGGCCATTGTTGGGCATTCCCAGGGACGCCGCTGGCGTGACGTCATCGCCCTCCCCCGCCAGATGACGGCCGTCATCGGCCCGGGGTAAAAAATAGGCTCCATTCCCTCCTCCTCAACCTCCTCACGTACTCCTGTTTCCGCAATTAAGGCTTGCACTGAGTCCTAGCGGAAACTGGAAGACTGAAAAACATGTGTCTGGTCAATGTCGGTGGGCGGGCTGGTTGCCGGGTCCGTGGTTTTCAATTTCCGGGTTCTGGTGGGCGGCCGGATTCCCAGGCTCCCGGGTTCGGGGTCGGGAGTTCTCGGCGCGTTTAAATGGATGAAACATAAGATTATGGAAATCAACGGCTATACATCAAAACGTAGAGGGCATGCTTGTATACAAACAGAAAGATATAGAAAGAGAGAGAGAGAGAGACACACAGAGAGAGAGAGAGAGCGAGACAAGGCAAACAAAAAGAGAGAGATAAGGAGGGAGAGAGGAGAAATATAACGAGAAAGAGAGATGCAGAGAGCGAGAGATAGAAAGCGAGAAAGAGAGAGAGAGAGAGAGAACGAGAGAGAGAATAGCAAACAGAGAGCATGTACTACACATTAAAAAATCCGCCGACGTGGCTCTGGGCATAAAGTTGGCGTGTCCTCGGCTGTTTTGCCTGATCCTCTAAACGTCAATCCTGCGTCCTGACGAGTCTTTCCTGGGCCTGGACCGCAAATTCAGAATTTGGTGGGGCATGGCGCGTGCCCCCTGGGGCTTCCAGCGTGCCCCCAGAGTTCCGGGAAATGGTGGCGCGTTCATCATCTCCGTGCCGGAGAGAGCCCCAAACTTGGCCAAGAGGGCCCCGAGAGGCCCCGAAAGCTGCCCAAGAGGGCTCCGAGTCGCCGAAAGATCGGCCCTAAAAGCAAAACAAATGCCCCAAGACAGCCCAGGAGGCTCCACGACGCCCCAGGAGGCCTCCAACAGGGCCCCCAGAGGCATAAATAATTGCTCGCCCTTAGGTTTTTGACGGAGTTGGGTGTTCTCGCTTTTCCGTTTTCCCGACGCTCCGAAATGGCCCCAAATGCCCCCCAAACGAGGCTTCCATGAGAGCCCCAAAACGGTCCAAGAGGGCCTCAAAACGGCTCAAGAGGTCCCAAAAACGGACCCAGAAGGGGCCCACAAGAGGGAACGCGAACCGAACATCCGAGCCTTCCGCCCCAAGAGGCCCCCAGGAGCCCCCAGAAGGAGGAGGCCCCACGAGGCCAACAGAGAGGCGACCAAGATATCCCTCCAGGCAGTCAGGCAATTTTGGTACGATATGCCTGGGCGGGAATTGAATGTGCCTGGACTGGAAACGTGACTGAATCAACGCATGACCAGGGTGTGACCTCAAGAAGGCGACGGCGACGACGACGACGACGCCGGCGAGGTCCAGGGAGCAGAACGCGCGACGGCCAAAACGTCGAAGGAACCGCTCAGTGAAGTTCAAGAAGAAGTCGTATGGGGAAAGTTCTGGAAAGAGCCGCCTGAATCAAGTGAGCGCCTGCATGGAATTCTATCAAGGCACCTTCCCCCCCTGTCGCGCCAAACAACCTCATCGTCCACAGAACAAATCTCCACGACGACTCAAGATGGCCTCTCCGACGGCCAAAATGTCCAAAAATGGACTCCGAAATGCCTCCAAGACGGCAAAGATGGCCCCAACAGATCCCAACATGGGAGAGAGCGTGATCCACCGCCGCTTTACTGTGGACAGTTCTCCCCCCCTCCTCCTCCAGAACCCGGGGGTCCCCCCCCCCCCTTCGAAAATCCCACCCCGCTGCTGGAACCCCCCCCTTCCCCCCGGTAAAAACTCCCCCCCCCACACCTCCGGAAAACCGGGGGGGTCACTACGGAGCCGAAGCCCCCCACCTCTCCAGAAAACCGCGGGGGGGTCACTACCAGTGCGAACCCCCCCTCCAGAAAACCAGGGGGGGTCACTACCGGCTCGAACCCCTCCCCCGCCCCTCCAGAAAACCGGGGGGGGTCACTACTTGTTCGAACACCCTCCCCCCACTCCCCGCTGTCCCCACCAGTGCCCCCACCAGTGAGTGTCTCGCTGTCCCCACTGTCCCCACCATTGTCCCACCACGGCCCGACTCTCCCCATTGTCCCCACCACTGTCCCCACTTTTCCCACCACTGTCCCACTGTCCCCACTGTCCCCGCTGCTGTCCCACTGTGCTGTCCCACTGTCCCCAGTGTCCCCACCACTGTCCCACTGTCACCACTGTCCCCACCACTCTCTCCACTGCACTAACGTCCCACCACCTTCCTCACCACCGCCTTCACCACTGTCTCCACCACAACCGTCCCCACCACTGTCCCGCTGTCCCCTCACCACTGTCCCCACCACCACCGTCCCCACCATTGTCCCACTGTCCGCACCGCTGTCCCAATGTCCCCACAACACTGTCCCCACCACCACCGTCCCCACCACTGTCTCGGTATCCCCACCACTGTCCAACTGTTCCGAGGAGCCGAACCGTTTGCCGGCGGCGAGGGGGGGGTTCGAACTGGTAGTGACCGCCCCCTTTTCATGATGGACTGGGGGGGAAGGAGAGGGGGGTTCAAACCGGTAATGACCCCCCCGGTTTTCGAGGGGGGGGGACGGGTTGGGAACCCCCAGTGACCCCCCCCGGCTTTCCGCCAGCAGCGGTAGAACACGCTCTTTCCAACATGGCCACCAAAATTCACCTAAGACGGCTCAAGATAGCCTAAAGACGGCTCAAGAGGCCTCCAAGAGGTCATCCAGGAGGACCCGAATAGGCCAAACACATGGATTTGGCTTAGGCTTTTGTTGAATGTCTTTGCCCGTTGCTTCTTTGGCTTTCCGACGGCCCAAGACGGCCCAAGAGGCCCCAGGATCGTCCCGCCAAATGCTTCCAAGATGACCCCATGACGGCCCAAGAAGCCTCCCAGACAGACGGCCCCACGATGATCCGAAGACTGTCCAGGAGGTCTCCAAGACGCCCATGGTGGCCTCCAAGACGGCCCTGAAGCGCCCAAAGAGGGCCCCAAGTCGGTCCAGAGAGGCCCCCAAGACGGCTTCCGACGGCGTGAGACGGGACAGTAACGCCATACAACGACCAAAGAAGCCCCCAAGAAGCCCCAAAAGGCCCCCAAGAGACCCAAGGAGGCTTCGTCCAGGCGGCATCCGAGAGGACCCACAATCAGCTCCCAAAAGACCCCAAGAGTCCTGCTGCTCATCCTCCTCCTCCATCTCCTCCTGATCCTCCTCTCAATGTGTCCTCCCTCTCCTCCGCTTCTTCTTTCTCCTTCGCGTGTTCCCCAAATGTTTTCCAGAACGGCTGGGGGGGACACATGGTCGGATAGCTTTGCAGAGCTCTGGCCACAACGTTCGGCCATATGGGTGATTCCAACAGGCAGGGTGGCGAGAGGCCCACAAGAAACTGCCAGAAGGCCCCAAGAGTCCGCCTCCTCCTCCACCTCATCTGCCTCCTCCTCCTCTTCAGCCTCTTCTCTTCCTCCTCCTCC